GGTCACGATTGTCCGGTAGTGTTTCATTTTTCATTTTTTTTCTACAAATCAGAATGATCTGAAATTTGGAGCGTAGGTACATCTTAGTGAGGCGCACCTAATAAAAATACCAAAAAATAATTCGCGAAAAACAAATTGACTATATATATATAGGGAAAAGATGGGATTAGCCCACTAGCTTATATAAACATATGAGCACAACGTCCCAAATTGATTCTGGGCTGATCTAATGATCATGGATGTCCGGTAGTGTTTGAATTTTAATTTTTTCTACAAATCCAAATCACTTAAAATTTTAGGCGTGTGTTCATCAAAAATAAGTGAATCTTCGAAAAAAATCAAATAACATATTTTACATTAAATAAATAGACCAAAATACCTCCGAAATGTCTCGGGGGATATTTTGGTCATTTTTTCTCAAATAATTTTTTTATATTTTTATTAGATGCGCCTTGATGAGATGAACACACCTAAAATTTCAAGTGATTTGGATCTGTAGAAAAAAAATAAAATTCAAGCACTACCGGACATCCGTGATCGTCAAATCGGCTCAGATTCAATCTGGGCCGTTGGGCTCATATGTTCATATGAGCTAGTGAGCTAACCCCATCTTTTCCTACACACACACACATGCACGCACGCACGCATGCATGCACACACACACGTCTAGGATAAGTCGGGATCACCTTACTCATTTCTTAGCGGAGTCAATGATGGAGTGACCAACAACAAACGAAGGGGAATATAGAAAGGGCCCATAAGCGATTGGTTGTTATCTACGGAGGCTAAACCACAGAAGCGGGAGGAGTATTATGTTGACTAGAGAGACGAGCTATTTGACAAAAAAGGAATGGACAGAGTGAAAAGCGAGCCAACGGAGCCAAAATAGGGTGCTACCAAAGTAGAGCGAGGTGTATTCGAATAAGAGAGTCAATGCTAGATCTGCGAAATGCAGGTGGGGGACTAAAGGTTCAGCATAAACGGGGCGCAGCAAACAAAGAGAAGTTGTTCCTTGAAACACGAAGAAGGTTGGTGTGGTTAGTGCTTAGGGTGATACTCCAACTTGAACTCTTTTCGGCTTATAACTTAGACTTGGATATTCTAAGATAAGATAGAAACTGAGACAAAGGCTTCCAGCAGTTCAAGCAGTGCATGGAAAGGAAGTAAGCGAAGAGAAGAGGTCAGTAGTGAAAGTAAAGTAAGTCAAGTGTAGGGTAGCTTGTAATTAGCTTTGTTGCTCAAGCTCTTTTTTTCTGAGAATTTGAAAGAGATTTTAAAATAAAGACTAAAGTGGGAAGTCGTAGAAATCAGGTAGTAGGTACTTCGGGGAAGGTGGAAAATAGAACCGTTTCACTTCCTTCTCTTTGGCATCGGCACTTGAGCTTCACTCACTTAACTTGCACTCCTCAAGGCCCAGTTTCTTTGGCAAGCATTTCACTACTCAAACTCACCATAACATTTCTCAAGCCAGAGGAACCTCACAACTAAAGAACTACCATCCGCTTTGATTTGACGTGGTCATCTCCATACCTTCGTCACTTGGACTTGGTGCTGCTAGATTTGGTGCTTTGGTTCATTTCAATAGACCACGTGAAAGAAAGAAGCCTCCCCGATGGATAAAGTCTTGCTCTCGCTTAGCAATAACACCCTGCGATATGCGCCTAGGGTTCACTTCCTCCAAATAAGTGCAAGAATTAGGAGGAATCTGCTGCTTACTAGTCACATCATCTACTTGATGTACTTTGTGCATCATCAATAGGTGATGCAAGATGTTACTCTCTTTGGTATAGATTCAAAAGAGCCATAGCTCTTACATATTAAATGCTCTAGTGTGGGCCTTATAAAACACTAATCAACTTTAAACTCTTCACAATTATCAACTATGAAATTGTGACTGCTTTGAATTTTTTTTTTTTGGGAAGGGCATCAATTGGATGTCATGCTGCAGCTCCTCAATGTCCTAAGATTTCTAACCAATGAGAGAAGCGCCCAAATCCCCTTTTGACAATTTATTGATGCTGTGACATCCATTAAGAGTTCCTAAAATTGTTGGCATGCTCCTACATATTCACAATGTCAATACAATTCTCATTAAATAGGTCCAATAGAATGACAAGGAAAACCGAATATACAAGTTTCGAAGTTCCACACACAATGCTAGTGTCAACAAAGTGAAATTTATCGTCACACTGATTCCATGTTGAATTTGAGGCCTACTCGGATCCCTCGTACCTACCTTTGGAGACCACTAGAGCAAGGCCAATCCCAGCTTAACTTTGATGGTTGCTCCATAAGCAACCCGAGTCCAACTGGTATAGGGGTCATTTTTACAATGTGAACGGCCTCACCCTTTTCTCGTTCTCAAAACATATCGGTCACACAGACACTTGCCCTTCTTGAAGGCCTAAAAACCTTTAACCCACTAGCCCCATTTTGGTCACAGAGGGGACTCCAAGAATGTCATCTCCTGCATCTCAAGGGCTACACCAAGTCCATGGAGACTTGAGCGCGTTTTTGATGAAATATTCCACATTTGCAGGCCTTGCACATCTCATGGAGAGATACTTGGCACGAGGTCAACTCAGTGGTTGACAGCCTCGCTAAAGGACCACTATGTGACAACTCGTTGGGGACCTTTTTGGCAACTTTTTGAGCTACCGGTCCTGTTTCTTTTTTCTCCTTTCATTGTACCTAAGGCTATGCCATTTTTTGTTGTACAACATTTTTTGATGTACAACCTTTTTTGTATAGAGCATCTAACCTGTGGGCTGCCATAACTGTTGCTTTTTGTTCCTTCTTATCACTCAATAAAAAAATTTAACAGTTTCAAAAAAAAATAAAAATCGAATTTTATCAACAAAATACAGCTAACATGATACATATACACTTTTGACAACAGATAAAACCTACAGTACAACAGCTTGCTTGCAAATAGTTAATTCTAATGATGTAATAGAAACATTTGCTTACCAGTTCTTTAGCTGGGAAGATGTCAGCTCGGAGCCCTGACCAACAGAGTCACATTTCAGATATCCAAATCATACAAGGCCGTAAGCTTCACAATAACAAAGTGAAGTAAAATAACTTGACATAAAAAAGAAAAAAAAGAAAATCTTTTACATACATGAATACTCAGTTTCTCTGTCCATGACTGTAATAGAGATGCATTCCGCTGCATCTCTGGTTCATCTAAAAGGGCCCTCTCAATTAAGATTATCTGTTTTTCATTCATAATGTTACGCTTCCGTTTTCTTCGGTGTTTGTCATCACTCTGTACAGATTCAAGCTTCTCAAATTCTTCTACGAAACCTCTACATCCACTGCCCTTCACACGCTCCTTCAATTTCGGCATTTCACCATTAGCATCATTTAGACGTTGATCAAGACAAGTTTCTTCCTTCTTGGAACTCCCAACAATTATATTCGTATCAGCAGTTCCAAGCTCTTCATTGACTTCTCCTACACATCCTGACGAACCATTCTTATCCTTCTTTCTACTTCTATCGAGCTCCATCACCTCACTGGGGGGGCTTGTCTGCTTGTTTATCACGGCTTTAAACTGGTCCACTTCTTGAAATGATGTCTCCACGGTCCCGTCTTCTATGTCACCATATTCTCTTCCAGAATCTAGAACGTCTACAATAGAATTTGCATTAACTTTCCTTGTAAAATGCAACGCACAACGTCCTGTGCTTTGTGCCTCCTGTACATAATCAAGTTTTCCATAATTGTGTTATCTTGTTAAGCAGTAACATTTATCCAAAGTAGCCACTCAACTCACTATGGAGGATGACATACCTCAGGTAATCGATAGCTATCATTTTCCAGAGTTTCATATTTGAGTTGGCAGTTGCCAAGCACATGAGGAAATGAAGATCGTGCATTCATCAAGGGACTTTCATGTTTGACTATATCAATATTGGAATATCTTTTCCAGCATTGAGAATGTTGGTACTGTTGATATAAATAACCCTTCAGAGTCTTTTCATTAACTTCTCTCGCATCTTCAACAACTGGCTCCTCCTACAAAACAATTTTGAGCAGATCAGCACAAGCATAAGGGCTTCTCACCTCCAACAGCATAAGATTGAGAAATGGGTCATGAAATATGAATCACATGGAATCTCATAAATGCATAGTTATATATAAAAATTTACGTCATTAACATATCACATGTGAAACATATCTCACCTTAGCTGCACCAGTTATAGATTGTGCCGAAGGAAGTGATGCATAGAGTTGCTCAAAGAATACACTGCACAAACACCAAGGAACTGACATAGCCATGGATATTTTCACTAAGATATCTAGGGAAAGGTGATCGATGATGAATCTAAAATATGTCAACAAGAAATAAATTATACTATTTATTTTTACAGCTGCAAGGAAGGGTTCAAAGGGTGCAATCTCTTGGCAAGGGTTGGTGAATTCACGGCTGTGACAGCATTCCAAATGTACAATTCCCAGCTAACTTCAACAACAACCCCAAATCCAAAACTCCCATCATCCCCTTCGTAAATAAACATAATTACAACCGTCCTTATCAAGAATCAAAGTCATCCATTAAAAGCTAAATGATTCTTCCATTACATTCCTTACAGACTTCGAAAGTTCAAATCAAATATGAACCCATTGGACATATTTATGCATTAGAGGGGAATGGATGTGAATAATGATTGTTGTTCCATGGACTCATACAAGAAATTATACAATTTCCACTTTGCAAGTTATGGTAGCTGCACAGCACAGGAGAGGAACAAGAGGATTTTCCACTTCGCAAGTTATGGTAGCTGAACAGGACAGGAGAGGAACAAGAGGGAATGGGTGTGAATGGTGGAATATCAGCATTTACAAGGGTCAACCTGAGAATTTGGCACCAGGAGGTAGAACAAGGCTCAGGAGTAGAAGCACTACCTTATGTATAGGTTCTTGCAACTAATATGAATATAAAGTGTTTCCCTCTTTCTAAAAAATTGATGCACGAAGGGAAAGGTGAGAAATTAAATCCACCTTTTTTCTGAACCTTAAGCAAGTAAAATCAACAAACATAGAGAAAAAAACATGGCTCTAAGTCAAGCCAAGAGAAGAACTTTCTTCTTCCATAAAATAGAATTCATTCCAATGACATAAGCCTTCCAAAATGTAACATCCAACCTCTATAAGCCTATGAAACCCTCAAATCAACTTGAGATCCAACTCCAAGTAAACATTTAAAACTCTAAAATACCCCTAATCTATATTAAATTATTAGAAATACCCCTGTGACAATAACATGAACAGTACCCATGAACAGTAACTATAAATAGTAGCAGTGAATAGTAAATGAAAAAATATGACACCATAGAATCCCTAAAAAACCCAAGACATAAACACTAAAACTAAAACTATAATATACATCCTTTGAACTTGAATAAAAATAAAAAATAAGAATAATTTTGCCCTTCATAAAAAATGGAAAAGGTGAACAAAAATTTGAAAACTGAAAGACAGTGAAGAAGCTTCTTTTATATGCAAACGATCATTGCAGAGACGATTATCTTACCAATATTCAGGAAACTAAAGATAAGAAATGAATGACTTATTCCTAGAAACCACCTACTTCCACAACCTTGACTAGGATATTCAAGCCATCAACTTAAGGAAATTAAATTTGAAGGAATACATTGACATAGCAAACAAGCAAAAGCCTCGAGAATCCAATCACCTCAGAAGTTGCACATCGTCCTCATTCAGTAAGGTTGGAACAAGAGATATTGCATGCTCCAACAAGGAACCTGCACATCATGCTCATCTCCTCAGAAGATTTGAGAAGAAAAAATGTCATGCCACAAAATAAATGAATTTTAGCAAGACTGTAGAATCCCATCAAAAGATAGAGAGTTACACAGGTTCTCGCAAATCATGATGGTTTTTGGCGCATCAACATGGTAGATAACTCCAGCAGAAGAGTTAGATGTCCCCGTATTTAAGCACTGAACAAATTTGTTGAAAAATTGGTCTTTCTCTTGCTCTGTGATCAACAAAGAGCTTAATTAAGGCCACAGACCAACCAGCAAGAAATAAAACATCCACTTAAAAAAAAAAAAGGAAGAAAACTAAAAGGTCAAACTGAAACCTTCACATATATCTGGCACAAAGCAGTGCAGATTTGCAATTATCTTGACCAAGAAAGACGTCCTCTGCTGAACATGGGGGATAAGAGGCATACAATTCAAGGCTAAACTGCAAACAGAATTAGTTTCATCAAGAAGGCTAGGCCCTGTCAAGGCTGTGTAGCGAGCAACTTTTGATGATGCAATTGCCAAGCCTGCTGCCAGAAATGGATCATATTCAAGAGTAGCGTCTTCCTCAATTACTGGAATATCAGCCAAGCACCAATTGGATACGAACTTGTCATGGGGCAAAGACAAAATCTCAGCCAAAACCTTAGTCTGCCAGATAAATAGATCAAAGGTTGTGACTGGATGCAAATGATAATTAAGTCACAGTAATAAAGAACAAAGATGACCATGGATTATGCCTTACAATGTTCGTCATAATGAAAGAACGGAAATTAGAATCATCAGAGAAAATATCAGCAAGACGCATGCAATTGAGAAGCAAATAACCCTTTGGGTTACAGTTGACAACAGAATCATCAATTTGTTTAGGTTCCCTGCTGAAGGCAACCTTCAGTAACTCGAGAACCTGCACCAAAATATTTGGACTCCACGAGATCAAGAACAAGCAACATACATCGCAGTATTCTTTGTAAACCAATATTCTGCCAGTTTGGGAACCAACCTCTAATGCAACAGATGTCGCCAGTTTCATGCTTCTCGGAGAGCTGGCAACCTCATCCAAGTAAGAAATGCTTTCGTCCTCACAGAATTGCCTCAGCTGTAAATAGGGAAGGAAATAAATTGTAGAAAGGAGATTGACGGGAAGGAAAGTGCACACGGAAAAACTCCAGCTGAATCTGGAATTCAGGCATGCAAAATTCTAATGGAACTTACAACTGATAGAACTTTAGATTTCAGCCTCGACACATTCGCCACAATGGTGGAAGATTCCTTAAAATGACGTGATATATTCAACCTCAGGATAGCAAGAACCAGAGAAAGAATGCTCCCATTTTTGCAGAGGTCCTGAAAACAGAGAGCAAAAGAAATACAACACAATGAATCACAAGAACTAAAAGCAGTAAGGAAACTCTAAGAGTTGAAACATTAAAAGAACTGCCATCCATTTACCCATAACACGAGGAAATAGATAAGTACCCACAAAGATTTACCTTATTTTTAAGAAGGCGTTCACGAAACAACTTTTGCTGGCACAAGGATTGAAGAATCTGAAGAGAGGCTTCGCACTGCTGTGCGATAATGTTCACCGCCCGCTCAGCAACAGAAAAACTGGTTTTCTTTTCAGTAACTTTTGTGTTCAGCGAGGACAAAGTCATTTGGAGAAGTCCAATATCTACTCGCAGGGCATCAAATGATGCATTCATAAATACATCAATCTGGTATAGCATGCAGTGCTATTAGTCCATGTAGATACTTTGAACCTCCAATATTAGAAAAGAAGTACAGTTTTTATTATTATCATCCGTATTGATTGGATTAGAGACTCCATTTATCATAAAAATGTATTTAAAAATCAACTAAATCTAGTAATTAATGTGATTGCAAATATGTTCGAGGAAATTCTCACGAAGATCACCCATTTAGCATTTGATGAGACTTGATCATGGTCATCCTGAAAGAAAATTCGGACGCCTGGCCGTATAGGGCCAAGTTTGATTGGGTTTTGAGAGATTATATACATTTCTTTTCTTGGTTTAGGTCGGGTGATATTTATGAAGTTGGGCATTGATTTGTTTTTCTTTTCAATTTGGTTACTGTCTATGTAGATTTTTTTTTTCATTTTTGGCTTTTCAATTATTGGCCCATTCAAGTGTAGATTTTATTTTTGAGTTTTTTTGACATTTATTAAGATTGGGAAACTCAATCCTAAAAGAATGTCAATAAACTCAAGCATGCCAGGTTTTGTTTTTCCTTAGATTGTCCAAATATTGAAAAGGAGCGACACATTTGATGTTCTTTAAAAGCTATGAAACAATGTTTTTTAAAAAAATAATAGATGTTCTATACACTCAATCAGGGGGATTCCGTAACCAACAGAGCCTCCCAAAATCATCCTCAAGGGCCTAAAGGCCCCCCTTTTTTACAGGCTGCAGGTATATGGGCATCCACCTAGGCAGCCTAGATGGCCAGGACCTTTGGCCGCGTAGGCAGCTGAATCCACCTTGTTGAACATTTGTTTAGTAACTTCAATAGTCCCTCCTAATCCAGAGCCCCCAAAGCTAATCCAGCCCTGGTACTCACCCCCCCCCCCCCACCCCTTTGAGGTTTCCTGCTCGTGCTCACTATTAGGGCCCTTTGTGTCACCATCAAATTCAGTGACCTCATCGTCGTCATCAACTTCTACTCCATCTTCCACTTAATCCTCCACTCAATGGTGCAAAACTTGGTAACTTGGGCACAGCACCACCTATCACTCAGAATCGGTCCCTGGCCAGTTCCGGAGGGTCCCAAACTCAGGGGAATTGAAACCCTAGACATGCTCAGGTGATCAGAGCGACTTTGCAAAGCAAATTTCCGGCCTGACATTTAGGGCTTTAGAGGCATTTTCATGCCCGATTGCTTGATCAGCTAATAGGGCTTATGTTGCTGTTTCCGAAATGAGGTCATAATAGTGATTCAGCAACTTTGTATGCATCATTATATATAACATATTGTCCCCCTCTTCAAAAAAAATAGTGACGTCAACATCAAATTGAAAAGTTATGACTAAGCAAAGTTGGTATATCACTATAGGGCTGTTTTTAAGAAAAATTTGTATTACTTTGTTTTTTCAGGGGCAAAAGTGTCAAAAAATGGGTTTTCTTTTAATTAGGAGTTCCAATTATGTTAGAATTAGGATTAGGGGGTGCAATAAGGCCTATAAATAGGGTGAAGTTATGGTTTTCATTCAGAATTGATTATTGTTATCAGAACATTGAATTCTATTAAATTCATAGAGCCCTTGAAGCTAGGCGTGTTAACTTCCATTAATCTATAGTTATTTCGAATATTGTTCTCAGAAATTCAATTGAATTCATACAGCCATTGAAGCTAGGCTTAGCATCCATTGATTTATTTTCCTTTATATGAATTTGTATCATCTGGAATTAGAGCAGGTCGATCTCCCAAAGTGTCCGAGGATACAATGCAAGTTTGCGCAATGGCTATCAGAGGAGGTCAAGGTGGTCGCAGTGGTACACTGTGCAGGAAGATCTAGTGAAATAATGAGGAGATTTAAGGAACAGGCACACGAGGTGCAACAAAGCCGATCAAGGAGAGTATGAAGTGCGCCCAAATAAATATGATCAAGGTTTAGCCACGAACGGAAGTGATGAATCTGAGCACGAGTTGGAGATTAAACCCGTTCCAAAACCAGGTGAGAAACAAACCTAGTGTTTTCAAATATCGTTTAGTTCGAGCTCTTGAAGGTACGAATTAGAAGTACCAGGGTTGATGTGCCCAAATTTGCAGAAAATTACAGCCCAATGAATATTTGGATTGGATTGCAATTATTGAACCCTTTTTCGAAAGAATCATCAAATGAGAGGTTAAATTTGTGGCTTCTTGTTTAAAGGGCCACACCCTAATTTCGTGGCATCAGTTGAAAGTGTCGAGTTAGAAAAGTAAAAGATAAACTGACAACTTAGAAAATGATGAAATCATGTTTGAAGGATAAATTTGTACCCACTGATGATGCGCAAGAATCAATCGGAGATTTCATCATCTTTGACAAAAGGATTTGAGTGTGCAAGAGTACAGAAATGAATTCTACCTTTTAATGAGCTGAGATGAGATCCACGATAATGATTATCAGCTCGTTAAAAGCTATGTGTGTGGCCTGAAAATTCAGATTCAAGATGAGCCAATCATACATCGAATTTTCAGCCTTGAAGAAGAAGCACATCACTTGGCCTTAAAGTTGAAGCAAAGTTACAAGAGAACCTCAATAAATCAACTCTATGGTCAGGGCTTGCTTCGGTCCAAAAGGGACGCACTGCAAATATAAAACAGCAAGAGGTGGTTGGCACAAGCTCTCGTCCCAGTGACAAATCTAAGGTGGGAAAAAGACTGGTGGTGAATAAGCCCCTTCAAATTGGAAATTCACGGGAGTCATTTCAATTTACATAAGAAAATTTGAAATTATTGAATCATTGAAGGTTACATAAGATTACCACATAATTTTGTCGATTGTAGGCCAATAAAATTTTGTTCCCCCAATATTAATTAAATTCAGCCCAATCTATTACTAAAAGGATTGAGCTGGAATAAAGAATGGGATCCCTATCTATTTGCATATCGAATGAGCAGTTGTTCCGAACAAAGATCAGTTGTATGAAAAAGGATTCTTGGGTTTCCTACCCCATGCTGAGAAAGTATCCATCCTTGGTTCGAAATACTTCAATTGGTACGCCCCAGAAATAGGCAAATTCAGCAGCTTTTTGCTCAATTTCTCTTGGAATGTACTTTTCTGTCCTCACCTGATAGCATTGGAGCCCCTTCGATATGATCATTGAGAAAGACCCGCTTAGGTTTTTCCTGCATCTCTCGCTAATCAGTTTTGCTGAGGGATCAACCCCATTTTTTACCTTGAATTGATCAAAATACACATAATTTCTTACTTTTCATGGAGGATTAGATCCAATAATAGGGGGTCTATGGCTGACCGATATTGCACACCATCATTTGGCTATTGCGATTATTTTCCTAATAGCTGGTCACATGTATAGGACCAACTGGGGAATTGGTCATGGCCTTAAAGAGAACTCAGAATCAATTGGCAAGAGGTCAACGATTGCGCAAGTTGCTCAAACAATCCCAAGCAGCCCCTCTCGCGGTGGAAGAACAGATAGTTCCTATTTATACAGGAGCGAATGGATATCTTGAATCTCATATTTACGGATGTAAAACAAAGTATAAATATCTTGGGAGGTGTGAAGGATGTCCAGGCCATGGCCACTATAGAGGGAAGTGTGAAGGATGTCCAGGCCATGGCCACTATAGAGGGGGGTGAGGGAAAGTATGTGGTAAGGTACGGAAAGATAAATCCCCCATAGTGGGCCTCAGCCCTTGAGGCACAGAGAATGGGTTTTTGAAGTAGGATAGAATGGCCTCTTCAATCTCCCTAGGTTGATCCAGCAAAATATCCCAATACATGAGATGGGAGACAGTGTTATCACGGCGTCCGCAATTCGCTGTCTTGCGGAAGAAGCCAGTGTTCAGATCGCCCGACTTAAGCCACTTGATCCTAGATCTTTGGAACCAGAATATCTCCTCTTTCTTGAGAATGTTCTGTAAATCCAATTTGAGTTGGATCCTACTCTGGTGCTCTAACTTTGAGACAGGCCTGGATTCTTCAATCAAATCTAAAGCTTAAATTGACTGGAGGGTAGGCACTCGAAGAAAAAGAGTGCTCTTCAAGTCAGGACAACTCAAATCTGGAAGGTTCGGGTCAAATCTGGAAGGTTCGGGTGGGTATCTAGCAGTAAAGGGAAGTGGTCAAAAGTGGGTTTAGGTAGGGCAGTGATGTGGGATCCAGCAAAAGAGGAGCCCCAATCTAGGGAGACAAGAAAACGGTCCAGCTTAAAGAGAGAAGGGTTGGAGGAATGGTTGGACCACGTGAATTGTGTTCCTTGAATGAGCAGATCCAAAAGGTTATTGTGAGATACGAAGTAAGAAAAACTTCACATGGGCGGAATGATTCTAGATGAGGTGTTTCTTTCAAAGGACTATCTGGTCACATTGAAATCCCCACATAGACACCAGATAGGGTGGGGTAAGGAGGCAATAAAGTTTAACTCATCCCAGAATGAAGGTCTCAGGGTATCCATATTGGGACCATAGATCGCAATGAATTTCCATTGCAGGCCACCAAAAATTTTGGATAAGAGGATGGAGACCGAAAAGGTTGCAATTTGAGCTTGGGAAATGGCATGAGCAGTTGGGTCCCAAATCACCCAAATGCCCCCCGAGGCCCCTAGGGCGGGGAGAGCTTCCCATTGGCAAGGACGACGACCCCATAGTCATCTAACCTGTTGGAGAGTAGTATGCATTTTAGTTTCAGTGAGGGCAAGGATAGAGGGGTTGTATTTGTGGCAAAAATCCCTAACAGCCTGTTTTTTGGTTGCGAGGCCTAACCCACGAATAATCCAAGAGAAGACTAACATTTAGAAAAGCGGAGATCCTCGGGGATCGCCTAACCGGAGTCCCATGAGAAATAGGATCAGGGGAAGAAGGTAGAAGAGAGAGATTTGGAACATTGTCGTAATGAATGGTACATGCCAAATTAGCCACTTTCCCTTTGCCCTTGCGACTTACCCTGAACCTTGATTGAGCATTTGACTTGAAGAATTCATGAAAAGGTCCTAGTCCATAGTAGGGAAAATCCATCACACCCATA